CTACCACCCCGCCACCTACCCCTACCCACCCCGCTATCTCGTTATGCCCCCACCTATGCCCCACCTTACCCTACTTTAACCCACCACTAACTAACAGCCTACCACTATAGTTATTACAGCTACCACCCATTGCCCCACTATGGCCCCACCTCCACCGCCTCACCCTACCCTGCCTGCCCCCAACAACCCCACCTATGGAGCAGGGGTAAGGTAGGGGTGATGGGGACGAGATTTGGGTAGGGGTGAAGTGGGGCGAGGTGATAGATGTGACGACGCCAGTAGTGACATGGTGGTTGGTAGGGTGTGGGTGGGGCGATGGGTGGCATAGTCTAAACAAAGACGATTGTTCCAATTTTTTGAGAGATTTCATTCCAGTTCCTACCAACCAAACGCGTGGTCAAATTCCATTCAAATTCCTTCAAAGTCAAATTCCTTTGATGAATTCCAATTCCATCAAATTCCATTGTGTGAACTAAACACCTCTTAGGATCTTTAGCAGTAAAAAGAGCATAAAGGAGATTATTAGAAGTAATATGGGTGAAATCTACAATATGACGTGGTTTAAGAAAACCATATTTGGCCTGAGTAACCATGGTTGAGTTGGTTTCATCAATAAAGAGGTGGGGACGACTAAGTTAGCAGTAGGTGGTGTAGGAATCTCCTTTAGGGAACCTGCTTCACAAGGGGAAAGATCCTCCCACCAGTACTTCTTCTATAGTAAAAGGAAAGGAGTTACTGAAGACAATTTAGCTCTACTCATTAGGGCGTTTAGCTACCTTCAGGATGCACACACTTCAATCATGTTTGTACCCCCCCACCTCATAAGTTGAATCTTCTTTTTCTCTACCTCTTACCTCTGAACCCATATCTCTCTCTGCAACACCTATCCTCAACCCCTCAATCCATCTTCCCTCATTTGAAACCTTTGACGATAATGAATATCAAGATGAAGCCTGCAACCTAATCCCCAGGAAGTTGTCAAGACAACCTGTATGCTTCAAGGTTGAAGAAGACTTGAGGATGGCTCAGCTTCTGAGTCAACTTACCAATCCAAAATAAAAATTCATCTTTTGTAACATACCTTTTTTTAATATGTTTGGCATTTGCCTCAAAATGTGTTCTAATGTGTATTATGTGTTTAATAAGGTATATTATGTGTTTTTATTATGTCCTATAGAGGACTTGTAGCAATTTTTTTAAGAAATTGAAAGGTTTCATAGGTTAGAGTTAGTAGTTTCATTCTCTCGTTCAGAGTTTGAATAACTCTGAACTCAAGGTCTTCAGACTTCGTCTTCAGATTTGGCACTTAGCATCTAGAGCATAGCTCATCCACAGGGGCTCTAGCCCTTCGGACTTAGTATCCAGAACCAAAGAACTTAGTGTCCAGAGGTGCTTCGGTCATCCAGAGGAGCTCCAGCCCTGAATGCTTGTGGACCAGAGGTTCTGGTCTTTAGAACCAGAGGCTTTGGTTGCTCTTCCAGACTTAGCCGATTTAATAGTGCAGATTCTCTGAACCTCCCATTCTTGGCCCAAATTAATCTAATTAAACTTTAATAATATTTGTAAAAAAAAATTATCTTGTTACAAACACATGGGCGAAAAGTTATGAATATTTCTACGTGTTTGATAATCAAAATGGGTGTTGGGTCAACCCAATCGGGTCAAACCCGACCCAAAATGAGTTCTTTTACAATAAAATGATGAAAATTAGATATTCTCACATCATTTTTACTTCTACAAACTTCTAAACTAAAGCAGCGGGGTTACATCTTCGTACTTCTGGATTGGTGAGTTCGACTTCCACTCTGAAGCTGAATACGAGGAATCCTTGAAAACTG